TATTTTTTTTTTTCTTATGTCCCAAAAGGGGGACCGGGGGCCGGGCCGGCCCCTCCACCCCCTAAATCCGCCCCTGGAATGTATGTTTGAAATCTCAAATAAAAATTTTGGCGACAAAATCGCTATATACTATATGATCCTCTGGATATCACAGGGTTTACGCACAGTGGTGGCGTCAGAGGGGGCTGGGGGCTATAGTCCACTCCCCGTCGGGGAAGCATAGACCCCCCGTCAGGGAACAAACAAATAAAAAAAAATATTTACATGTAATATTCGTTTAGCCACCATATTGTTTGTGTTAACTATTCATCACAACAACAACAATAACAATAATATTAATAATAATAATAATTCAATGAGACTAATTAAAAATAATTTGCGTTCTGTTATGACAAACGCTCATTTAGATAGCCTCATGATGGTTGGAATAAATAGTGATTAGATGGTTACATTGCATATTCTTTGTTTCTTGTTTCATTCAAAATGTTTTGGTTTTGGAAGCTGATTTCAACATTAGAAAGCATAGCCTATAACTATAACTATACTGTAACTCGATGCCTATCAAATAAGTAATAAAAATTCGCCATAATTCATCAAATATCCGTGGCTTCCAGGGGCTTCGCTGGACCCCCACTGGGGGCCCTAGGCGCCCTCCGGCCCCCACACAAGTGAGACTCAATTCGCTCCACTAGCCCCCCCACCCTTTAGCCCCTCCGTCGGGCAGGTTCTGGCGCCACCATTGTTTACGCGTCCGGACTCAACTGGAATTCGCAGTCTGCTTTATATTTTAAATGAAAATATATATAATAATACGCCTTTTTCACAAATCGGTAGACATCTTGAAGTGATGACAAACATTGCGAATCAACGGTGCGTAACCAACAGAAATAAGATAAGCTTTTGGGCGGATTTTTTGACATCATGTTATTTAAAAAATCATAACTCTATAACGGGGCGTTTTTTTTCAATCATATAGTGGTGTAGACTGGTCTTTTAAGAACATTTTCCTGGAAACATTTTTTGGATACGACGCCCTGTTATGGAGTTATGATTTTTAAAACAACATGATGTCAGAAAATCAGCCCAAAAGCTTATCTTATTTCTGTTGGTTACGCACCGCTGATTCGCAATGTTTGTCATCACTTCAAGATGTCTACCGATTCGTGAAAAAGGCCTATAACGGTATAGGCCTCGAAGAATGATTAACTCCGGTGCCACATAGTGGTTGGTGTACGTGTTGTCATGCAAAACTTTTCCCTCGCTGAGTCCGTACTTAGCGCCTATGCTGGTGACATCATCACAAGCAAAACACTCGTACAGTACCTACTTGGGCAGATTAGTGTAGTTATTTTGAGACTAGACTACCGATGTAGATTTAAACTGTCAACTTTCGTCTAATTTATATTCTGTAACATTTCTAGCTTACAAAACATAAGTGGTATCCCTCAACTTACCTTTTATCGTGTCCATCCCTGTATCTTGGCACCTAGAATAAATTGACGTTACCGCTTCTGTCAGTACATGACTGCTCAGGTTGCCTAATCCTTAGCTTCTATTTCCGGGGAGAGCAGGTAGTTAGAAACGTCGATTATCTTATGGGGACAGTTTTTATTCACAGAATAATATTTAACAAGTAAATGTTATGTTAATAGCATATCTCGTAAAACGGTCAACTTGAAATATCTTGAAATATATTATACTAGGAGGAGAAATACAATTTACTATCTTAATAATGATAATAAATACATATTATATGTTGGTCTGTATAAGCACTAAAATTCATTTACCCGGGTGAGTTTCGACCATTCGAAAAAGATAAAGGAGACCTGCGAAAATAAAATAAAGAAAAACAAGAGCTTAAATAAATCCAAAACAGCAGAAATGACTCAAGAAATAATTGATAGTGAAATCCAGACAGACACAGCTACCACATTACGAGATATATGGGACTGTCGTTGTCTCTGCCTAGATGGAATAGGAGAATATATCACGCAAGGAATCTAAAGAAATAATACTGTACCAAACAATAGTGTCAATAATGATAATTTAATACGCTCATAACAAAAATAATATTAAAATATATAATTAAATTAATCATTAGAACAAAATCTATAACCTAACTCACGTTTTGACGGTATTAATAATAATAATAATAATAATAATAATAATAATATTTATTATTATACTGTTTACAAAAGCTTTAAAGTAAATATGAAGTTTCTGATCAGTCTCATTATATATTTTTGAGGACGTTTTCACATATTTTGTTGGCAGCAAGTTATCGAAGTTGTTGGAAGTCACAAAAGTTCCGTAATTTTAGGCCACGTTTTTTTTAAGATCTCTGCGAAGTTCTCCAAGAAGATTCATGTTATGACGACTGCGCCACCTACCTGGCAGGGTTGCAGCACCAAATGCGTGAACGACAAAGCACGGTATGCATGATTGCATAGTATAATATGATATTATTTATTACTTTCATAATGATAAATAGTAAGATTCTAAAAAGTACTGTGATTATAAATAAATAGTGAGTAATAATGATGTCGATAACTACGGCGATGGCACTGATGGTGATGATGATATCATGATGATGACGGTGATGGAGTTTATAATGATGACGATGATAATGAAAATGATGATAATCATCATGATGATGATGATAATTAATGTGGGATGGTAACATGTGGAGATTATTTCGGTACCTATAGTTTTAAACAAAGACAAAACGGATTTGGATAATCCGTCAGGCGGTTGAACAATTTTAACACCGTCTATGATCCTTTCTCTCCCTTGAACTCATCTCACCATGATAATATAACAATATACGGCATGACATCCTACGTCCATCATGGTTCATCAATACATCATCAACTCAACCACAAAGGTAGAATTAATTCATCCTTTCAAGTAAAATAGCTAACGATTTATCAACGAATATTTCTAATTCGCTTGGGAGGCCACGTCGTGACGGAATGACGGAAAGTGCTTAGCGTTTCAGACTGACATGCGTCTGGCCATGTAACAGAGGTGGGAAAAGTGCGGGCTGCGGGCAGCATGCGACCCGCCAGTGATTTTTTTGCGGCCCGCAAAAATGAATTAAAAACTCTATCTGTGCGGCCCGCCAAGCAACATTGCAAGAAAACTCCTTGATCGAAACCGATCATCTGTAAAAAGTAATATTAAAACTGAGAATAAATAATCTCATCCAATTTTTATGCCCACCCCCTGATGTATAAGACCGCAGGACACGCATGTTCTCAAGTTACCAAGTCACCAAGAAGCCAAACATTTATTAACTGCACAAATTTACTTCAATATATACAGTATTTTTTTTTCTGTTGTGTAATTAGCATTGTGTATTATATGTACCGGTACGGTACCTGTAGAAAGAGCCAGTCGGTCAGTTGGCGACAGGTAAGCCTCACTTTGCTAAATTCTTGAAAGGAAATTTATAAGACATCAATATGTAAGACGTATGTTTTTTCTAGTGGAGCGAATCGAGTCTCAATTGGCTGGGGCCAGGGGGCCGCCTAGGGCCCCCGGTGGGGGTCCAGGGAGAGAAGGCCCCTGGAAGCCACGGATATTTGATGAATTAAGGCGGATTTTTATTACTTACGGTATTTGATAGGCATCGAGTTACTATAATATGACTTCATGTAGGCTATGCTTTTTAATGTTGACATCAGCTTCCAAAACATTTTGAATAAAGCAAGAAACAAAGAGTATGCAATGTAACCATCTAATTTATTTTCAAATCCTCATTCTTGAAAGTGAAATTCTATATTTTGGAAATTTTGCATGAAATCTGTCAACCACGTTGTCATG